TTTTTTAAATAACTTTACCAAATTTTTGCAAGTCTAGGAATTTCATTTCAAACCCTTCATCAGCCTTTAATAATATGATGGGAAAAGATCGGCAGTAATTCGTAATAAAGCAACCAGGAACTTTTAAGATATATATATATATATATATATATATATATATATATATATATATATATATATATATATATATATATATATATATATATATATATATATATATTCAATGAATTACATGTAGCTTTAATTCTTTGTTTCTCCCTCAGGGCAGTTAAGATTCTGGAGAAAAAAGCGATCAGTAGCTGCCTGCTCTGCTTGCGACCTGTTAGACTCAGATGATGCCAATGTTGTAATAGCTAATGGTATGAAATTTTTAATTGTTAACCTTTAATGTTGATATTTAAATACTGTTTTATCGTTACACACCTGAGACTGAATATAAGATGCATTTATATTGCTTTAAAACAGGTAAAATTTATTAGTTGTTACTCTATAAACACTGTTTTAACTCAGTTTCAAGGGATATTCCATAAAAATATTAGTGCATATTTACTATTTTACAGTATGTGGTGCTGATGCAGCTAGTGGTTTGGAGGATATTACAAAGAGTATACAAAATCTACAACTTTTGTATGAAGACGCCATTAATGGAACTGTACTCACAGAGGTGTGTGTTCGATTTGTTCTTCTAATTCTTATTAACCCTTGTATATTTTTACAAAAAATCTTTCTTCATTGTCCCTTATATGAACATAATATTATAAATAATCATTTTTCCTGTTGTTATAGATACTAATTGGAGCGCCTCAAATGACGACCACTCCGTCCTTGTCTATCTCAGCTGATCTTGACCACATCATATACAGCATTGGAACAACGACAAAAACACTGGCCGGGATGCCCGGGGAGAAAATAATCTTCAGTGATAAACCAGCATCGTATGCTATGCTGGCAGATAAAATTTACAATGATTTTGTGTGAAAAGACCTAAATGTGAAAAAAAAATCTATACATGTACAAGTCCCTGTCTATTTTTATTTGTTCTTCTTTTTTCAGTATATACGTTTTTAAATATAACTTGAAATCAGCATTTTTAAAGTCTTATCGTTTTTCTTGGATGATATAGATGATTAACAGTACATGATCATGTAGATGAAGATTTGTAGCTCTTTGAAAAAAAAGACTGGAGAGCAACGATGTCACCTAGATTTTCCTTTATATTTCAATGTAAAAACTTGGATTACCTATTGTGGCCCGCCCTACCCCCGGGGGTCATGATTTGAACTTTAAAATGCATGATTCCACATAAGTTTCACTTTTTCTGGCGCAGTGGTTCTTCTTCAGAAGATTATTTAATGACCCCACCCTATTTTTGTTTTTTCTTGATTTATCTAACCTTGTAAGGAGCATTGGCCCTTTATTTTAACAATTCAAACTCCCCTTTGGCCAAGGATATTTTGTACCAAGTTGGGTCAAAATTAGCCTCGTGGTTCTTGACAAGAAGTCGAAAATGTGAAAAGTTTACAGACGGACAGACAGACTTAGACACTTATTCAATGGGCGGCATTGTCGCTCTCTGGTCGTCCATTCAATTTTTTTCAGACAAGCGACTACAGATAAGCATCTAAAATACATATGTACATGTACCGCTATATTTACAGTGCTATCATGAAAATGCAAATGAATTGAATCACCATTTTCTAGAAACATCGTAATCAAATTCTTATATCATCTTATTATAGTAAATTAGTAATAATTCACTTTCTCAATACAGAGAGCAAAGCACTACCGTCTTTTCCAGTGTAATCTGTCTAGCGAACAAGCTGCTTTTTATATTTTCCCCAGCTTTATACATTTAACTCCTATTCCTAAATGTTTTCAAGAAGGGCCGTTTGTGGAAGTGTATGACCGTAAAAATGGAATCTTTTAAACTGACATTCCAAATCCATAAAGTACTGCTTCGGACCATTGAAAGGTAAATAAAGCATCAATTATTGGAGTAAAATATATGATTAATTAATCTTTTACCATTCTTAGAGCGCAAACAGCACAAAATACAAGAAATAATGCCTGAAGTGAGCGATAAAAAATCGGCGGCATAAATCGAAGATTTTTTTTACAATGCTTGGATCTGTAGCTCTCTGCTGCTTTATCTGTCAGAATTTTCTCAAGCAGTGAGCTAGAGTTCTACAGCTATGTAAATACGTTGTTCGGAACATTAGTTGCGAGAGGGAAAAGTCTGTGTGTAACAAATTTATTTTACTTTTAATAATTAAATACACTGTAACGCGATGTTTATGCGAAAGTTTACAGACGGACAGACAGACGGACGACGGACAATTGGTGATCAGAAAAGCTCACTTGAGCTTTTCAGCTGTAACCTGGAGCAGAATAAGTAAACACTTATTCAATGGGCGGCATTGTAGCTCTCTGGTCGTCCATTCATTTTTTTTTTAAAGATATGCCTCTAAAATACATATATGTACATGTTCCGCTATATTTACAGTGCCATTATGAAAAGTCAAATGAATTGCATCACCATATTCTAGAAACATCGTAATTGTCACAGAGCAACATTTAAAATGGTCCTGCCAGTCATGAAAATGTTAAAAAGCCGAGCAATACTCAGAGAAAATTAGCACCAAGAAGAATTTGGTTGACATCCCGAATTGGCAGCAAAGGACGCGGTGAGAAGGTTGAAGCTGATAAGGAATCTCCAAAAAATCAAGGAGCACATTCAAATCCCTTTTCCAATCAAATCAAAAGGAAGTAAATCGTTAACTCATAAACTGTGTCTTCCGGCTTACTGTTTCTACAACTTAAACCATAACCAAAGCATTATATAAGATTTATGTTTCCGTAGAAAAGAAACCTTCAATATCACATGTAAAATATTAATTGTGACAACTTTCACAGCGAAGGTCTTAATCAATCCACAATGTTATTGATTATGGATTCAAAAAACGGATGTACGTGTAATGTAGAATTGAATTATAAACAATTTAACACATGTAGATATGTAAAATTTTGTAATTTTTTTTTTTACATGTAAAATATTAATTACAATATACAATATTTAAGTTAAAAGATTATACAATATGTTACTGTAAAAAATTACATAATTAATAACATATTGAAAACATTACACAATATGTTATATAAAAAATTACAACGTTTGACATGCCATACACAATATGTTATTTAGAAAAATATCAAAATATACATTATACACATAATTAATGATTAATTAATAAGTCATTAATTTCTCCTGCCACAGCAAGAAGTGCAACTAAAGAAGTTTAGGATTCGGGAGAAAACACCCCGTCTGGGCTGTAAAGAAAAAGAAAATATGTTTGAAAATGAAACGAATTCTATACAATATGAATACTATACCAAAAAAAAGCGGATTCTTATTAGTGTCCTTTTCCGTTTTTCCACTAAAGGGAAAACATAATATAATTTAAAGTTTACTACATTTTCAAAGTGAGTCTTACCAAGAAAACATCACATTTAAAATAAGCTTTCTTCTGTTACATGTTTATTGATGCAAAGGTAAAGGAAAACCCATAAATAATACTGAATAAGATATTAGATTTACATTATGAGAAATTCTCACCTCAGCAACTGTAGCCAATCGGTTTTCGATTGCAGCCTTCGCAAAAGCATTATTAATTGATGTGGTTGACATCTTCTTGGCCTGTGGAAGATAGGGAAACAAATTAAAAACGTTAATTTGAATTAATATTTCAATATCTTTTTTTTAATTACTAGAATATGGATTTTTTTGGTATACCTCCATCTCCAGTGTCCTGGACATGACCCTGTTGACAGCAGGGCTGGAAGTACTGCTTGTCTAAAACATTGCCATAAAATATATTATCATATCGATAAAATTATTTAAGATTACTTATTATTGTCAATCTGTAAATTTCAAATGGAGAGAAATTCTTTGACGATCAAAACATTTATGAATTTGAATAGTCTTACTTTCTTCCTCATTGTTTCTAGGCAAAATAACAAATACATGTATTTAAAAAAATCTTTGTGAAACACTAATGTCCCCAACCCCTGAGCACTCATGGTGAAGGTCAAAGTTTCTCAAATGCAAGCAGAATCTAAGGTCTAGAGATCAATATTATTGGTATCCAAAGAATGGTCTCATCAAAAGGAATATACTTGTAAAGTATGAAGCCCTTGCATCAACCATTCCGAAAGTATGGTCAAAGTTAAAAGATTTTTCAAAAGTATAGGTCATGTTCTTAATAATATATTATAAACACTTATAATTACCTTCGAAATATGTCTTGGAAAAGGTCGACTTTTAAGATAGAAAGATCAAAAATTGTTGGTACACAAAGGAAGGTCTTATCAGAAGGCAAAAAAAAACATAATACTAGTATGTGAAATACAAAAAGTACTAGTACCAACAATTTAAAATTTGTGACAAAGGGTCAATTTCTTGGAAAAGAAGATCAAATTTCAAGGGCAAGGTCAACATGTCTGAAACCCAAGGCTGGCTCATAATAAACCAGAAGTCTCTGATGAGACTGTAGCTCTACTGCTCACTACATGAAACTCTGCAAGAGCAGCAATAAATAGAAGTATGTATCTTAATGTAGTCTACATGTACACGTACATGTGTGCCAAGTTATTTTGAAATCAAACTAAAACTGTAGGAAGAGTAATGTAATAAAAGTATTTTAAAGATTTATTTTTAGAAACCATACCAAAAACATATAGCGAAAACAAAAACCGATATAAATTATCGTGCACCGTAGTGTAGTCTAATGCTGTGCTAAATTAGATTGGAACCAAACTAAAACTGTAGCAGGAATAACGTTATAAATGCATTCTACAGAAATTTTTATTTTTAGTAAACATGGCAAATCGATTCATCATAAGAAAAAAAAAATTTTGAATTATATATATGCACCTTAGTGCAGTCTACTCGTGTGCCAAATAAGACTACATGTAAAACTATAGTAGGAATTGTGTTTTCATGGAATTTTCAGAAATGTGTATTTTTAGCAACCATGGTAACAGATTCATCGAAATCAAAAATCGATGCACTAAATAATGTGGTCTCATATTGAAATCAGGCCAGAACTAGGAAGGGTAGCGCTTTAAAGGAATTTCACAGAAAAATTCTATTTTTAACTATGCCAACATCGTTCATTAAAATCAAAAACCGATTCACTAAGTTTTGTATCTGTAGTGTTCTCTTCTTGTATGCCAAGTTTTACTGAAATTGGGTCAAAGCTGTTGGAGTAGTAGTGTTTAGAAAAAAGTCGTTTACAAACAAACTATCACATACGCTCTTCTTGTCAATGACCAGTACAGCTAAAATGCACATGTAAGATATAATAGTCTTTGCTCTGACCATTCAAAAGAAATGGCAAAGGTTAACGTTTTTTTAAAAGAAGGTCAAATTCCATGGATGGTCAAAAATATTTATGTATTTGCATTCAAGAAAAAATCCACAAGAAAAACGCTTGAAATATGGAGGCCTTGGCTCCAACCGTTCAAGTTATAATATATCCAAGGTTAAGGTTAAGTAAACATTTCAAAAGTTGATCAAACCTAAAGGCCAAGAGGTGAAATATCAAAGAACCGAAACAGAAGGACTTGATGCAAGGCATACAAAAGTTGTAGGAAAAATTGAAGTTTTATGCACAAAAGACAAAAGGGCCAGACAGACGGACAGAAAGACCAAAAATCTTTCACTGCGTTGGCATAATTGTTTTGATTTGGAAACATAAGTTAGCTCCTGCTTCTTCAAGACATTGCCTGACTAAAATAGAAAATCATAGCAGTTAATCATGTAAACGTGAATTTCTTCAAAAATTTACTTCAAAAATTTATTTAGTAATAACCGTAGGTATACGACTGACAAAAGATATTTTACTCTGTATTACCTGGGCCATTGTTTCATCATTCCTGCCCTTCTCGGCAGCCGCTGAGAAGGCATTTTGAATAGCCGTTTGGCTCATCTTTTTGGCCTAAGAAAATGGCAAAGATTTAAACAAACTTTAAAAATCATTAAGGAAATATAAAAGATATTAACAGCTAGTTTTTAGTTAATCAAGGTATAAAAAAAAATGTCCGAGTATCCTTAATTATCTTTTTATTTGCAAGTTAGGGTGTGTGGGGGATGGGGGTGGGGGTCGTTGCATACCTGTAAAACCCGCTTTTCATCCAAGGGGCTTTGGAACAAAATGGAGGACATTCTTCGTGCCTATAGTATAAACAAGAATAATGGTTTAATAAAAGCATGTCTTCTCATAATGAGAAAAGATATAATACGAAAAAAGAGACAGAGAAAAAACAGCCAAGAGGACAAGCGGGAATTCTGCCCCTTTTATGTATTTTAACACAGTCATTGTATGATTACATTGTACTTCGTATTGCGAAATACAAAAGAATCAGTATTATTAGTTCCTCTGCTAATGTTGATTAAGTTAATATAAAATCATACAATACAAAGAAGAGGCCCATGGGCCACATTCACCTGAGTATGCAGTTTTTACCAGATTCCCCCTCTTGCTATACCTATCATGCCCCACTACCACCTTCCCTATTATGATTTTAAAACTTTAGAATCTACACTACCCCGGGATACTTCCAGATAAGTTTCAGCTTTCCTGGCCCTGTGGTTCTTGAGAAGAAGATTTTTAAAGATTTCTTCTATATATTTCTATGTTAAACTTGGATTCCCTATTGTGGCCCCGCCCTGCCCCCAGGGGTCATGATTTTAACAATTTAATATCTACACTACCCAAGGATACAGCTTCCACGTAAGTTTTCAGCTTTCCTGGCCCAGTGGTTCTTGAGAAGAAGATTTTTAAGTATTTGTTCGATATATTTCTATGTAAAACTTGGATTTCCTATTGTGGCCCTGTCCAAACCCTAGGGGTCATGATTTTAACAATTTAATATCTACACTACCCAAGGATGCTTCCATATGAGTTTCAGCTTTCCTGGCCCTGTGATTCTTGAGAAGAAGATTTTTAAAGATTTATTCTATATATTTCTATGTTAAATTTGGATTCCCTATTGTGGCTCCGCCCTATTCCAAGTGGTCATGATTTAAAAAATTTAATATCTACACTACCCAAGGATGCTTCCACATAAGTTTCAGCTTTCCTGGCCCTGTGGTTCTTGAGAAGAAGATTTTTAAAGATTTGTTCTATATATGTCTATGTAAAACTTGGATTCCCAATTGTGGCTCCGCCCTATCCCCGGGGGTCATGATTTTAACAATTTAATATTTACACTACCCCAGGATGATTTCACATAAGTTTCAGCTTTCCTTGGCTAGAGGTTCTTGAGAAGAAGATTTTTAAAGATTTATTCTATATATTTCTATGTAAAACTTGGATTCCCTATTGTGGCTCCGCCCCATCCCCAGGGGTCATGATTTTAATAATTTAAAATCTACACTACCCCAGAATGCTTCCACATAAGTTTCAGCTTTCCTGGCCTAATGGTTCTTGAGAAGATTTTTTAATATTTCTCCTTTATATTTCTATGTAAAACTTGGATTCCCTATTGTGGCCACGCCCTACCCCCGGGGGTCATGATTTTAACAATTTAATATCTACACTACCCAAGGCTGCTTTCACATAAGTTTCAGCTTTCCTGGGCTAGTGGTTCTTGAGAAGAAGATTTTTAAGGGATCAACCCCATTCTATTTTTATCTTTTCTTGATTATCTCCCTTTGGGAGGGGACTTGGCCCTTTATTTAAACAATTTAAACTTCCCTTCACCCAAGGATGCTTTGTACCATGTTTGTTTAAAATTGGCCCATTGGTTCTTGAGAAGAAGTCGAAAATGTGAAAAGTTTACAGACGGACAGACGGACGGATCCGGACGACGGACATAATGTGATCAGAAAAGCTCACTTGAGCCTTCGACTCAGGTGAGCTGAAAACTACATGTATACTAGAAATTTAATTTTTATCGATTCTCTCTGCTCCATCCTTCTTGTTAACACATACAAATTATAATAGTGCCTTACCTCTGCTAACATCCTGTTTTCCTCCTGAGCAGAATCAGGCACGGTCGTGGTCGACTTAAACACAAAATAAATTATGATTCTTGGTAAAGATGGCATATTAAATTAAAAGACGCCAATGAATTAATTCGGAATTTAAATACAGAGAATCGGACAATGGTAAGTACAGCTAATAAACATTTTTCATGTTTTCTGGATTTTCACTTCGCAATGTATGTATACATATAATTTATTTTTTTATTCCGTACAAATGAAAATACGAGTAGAAAAAAAAACAAGTGACCAAATAACGTATATTGTATCCCCTTTAGACACACCTCGAACTCCTCGCTCCCACTGCCTTCGTCCGATAGGACGGCTAAAGCGTCTCTATAAATACTGGAGCCGCTAGATGAAGCCTAGAAAAAAAAACACTACAAATGACTATATGTCACATAATGAGTACATCATTTACTTATTAATTTATAAGAGTCATGGGGGCCGAAACCGAGAAGGGGGGGGGCGGCTAGGGGGCATAACAAGCCAACCCCCACTCCACCCCAAACTATTTTTTGCAAAGATAGACATATTAATATGAGGCTTGAAAATATGGGTTTAGTACTGCAACCTCCTTTTTTGTTGTTGGACGAACCCCTACTCCCTTTCAATTTGCTTCTTAAGTCTTTACTTTGATGGTATCCTAACCCATTTTTACTTTAAATAAATTAAACATTCAGATTCTGTAAAAACATAGGTTTCGTGTTTGAAATATACACGCATATAATAATTGAATAATAGTACGTTATTTCAATCCTTCAGCGACAACCTCTATCATTTTATTAAATACTGTACTGAATATATCATTATTATTATTAGAATTAATTTGTGTAAAACGAAAGAAGATACATTTTACTTAAAAACAAAACGGATATTAGTCTAGATTATTTTTAAGAATGAAGACACAAATGTCAAAATCTGAGTCTGACCCTAAAACCCTATATCCCCACCTCCCACCCCTTTTCCTAAGAGTAAAGGGACCCACACCTTTTATATGGTATATCATTTGTTACATGACTTATCTGCTATGTATTTTGCATTAAACTTTCGTTAACATTAATTCAGCCTCTAAAAATAACTTAAGTGAATATAGTTCTAATGTTTTACCTCTGCATTTTCACTTGATGCCCCTTTAAAATCATTCATTTTGATTCTATTCGCTGGGCTGAAATAAATTTAAGTATGACATATTATTAATAGAGGTAAAGGAAACTTTTATCTGATCTTATATTTCGTTTATTTTTATTGATGCAAGTTAATAATCATTTGCGTATACTTCTACTTACTGGTATATAGGTTGACAGTAAACGTTCCAAATGTGAAGAGGAATTCACAATTTCGAATATTCGAATATTTGATTTCTGTCTCTCTGTTTCTGGAAGAAGAAAAAACAGTTAGGTTATGAGCTAAGCATTTCAATGAATTATCTTGCTGTAATTAATATTATACTAAACATCTAAAACATTTCGTTAAAACTTCTTTTCTACCTACCACAGATTATTGTCTGTGAAGCAGGCTGAGACGAGATTTCTATTGTGACGTCATTCCATAGTGACGCGTCACCCAGGTTTAAGTATGAACGATAACTCTGTTTTTTTCCGCATGAAAATTTTTTACGGACCGTGTTTATTCACATTCCTTTTTTATTCTGCTTTAGCTAAATAATCACGCGATGCTTATAAGCGAGGTGAGGGGGATTACGAGTAGAGTTGCAAGCCTTTTCTCTTTTTATGTATCAGTCGAAAACGATATACAGTATTTAAAAACGGCTTATAGAGACACATACATGTATTACATTATCGATATCAAGTAATGCTTTATAGACTACCAAAATAGGAAAAAGGTGTGTCGATCCCAGATTTAAAAAAAAAAATGGAAGGGATTGTGTCCCGCCCCCCTTCCCCTAGTGCTGTGTCCTCCACGGGCAAAAGTTAAATTTTTCTCCTCCTAGCTATACTATAGGACTTTAGAGCAAAAACATAACGGAATCTCTAAACGTCTAATGAAAGAACGTTTGGACGTCTCAGGAAGCTGAAGGGTTTAAAAACAATCTGAAATTATTAAACCAAGACTTGTGTAAAATTAAAAAAGTGATTTACATAATGTCATTGTCAGTGAGTTAAGTCCATGAATAAAAGGCAAGCATAAAAAAAAATATTTAAATGAAATGTTTATTAGATCAAAATTCAAGTAAAATAAAATACAATAAAGGGTCTTATGATGCTATAACTACATGTAGACGTACATGTACGGATCTTAACTTTAAAAGACATATTATAACTCTTATTTAGTCCTGATAAATTTCATTTACAAAATGTTTCAAGAGCTTAATAAGCTAAAGGGATAAGGCTGATTTGTCGCCGTTGTTTTATAACACGAACTAACCCTCTAGGACCCTATGTTATGGGCGTCATTTTCTTTCCAACAAACACTTGAAAATTAAAAAAAAAAATCCGCTGTTCTGATGAAATATATATTTATGAAACTTTGAAAAATATCAGAATAATCTTATCAAGAAAATTATTCAGTTGGTGCTATTTGATGGGGTCGGTCTCGTTTTGGGAAATTTTTTATTTTGGCCTAAGGATTGTAATAGTTAGTTACAGGTTGACCATGAAGTTGTTTGAGATATTTCAAGAGGCAATTCTTTTCAGGACTGTCACTGATGCGCAACGGAGATGACAAGAATTTTTATTCAAATTGTGTGTGTGTGGGGGGGGGGGGGGGATCGACATATCAATTTCAATAACTCATGAATTATCAGTCAAAGTCACACAAGATTTTGGTATCTTGTTGATTAAAGTTGAATTAAAATATTTGATAACAATACTGGAAAACATATTCGAAATGATAGTTTTAATTTAATTCAAAAGTTTAATATGCGTTTCTTTTTCCTTTCAGTATATAATAAATAAACATTTTATCAGATCAAAAATGCAATGTAAATGGTTGATGTTTTCACAAGGTTGGAGACTTGTCTGCTCGTTGGACGGACGATACTTACTACATGTACGTACAGGTACGAGGGCTGTTCGGAAATTATTGAGACAATTACATTTTCTCCATAAAGGTCTGAGATAATTTCACGAAAATTCATCGACATTTTTTAAAGAACGAATAAAACACTTATGCGAAATTTCTAATTCCTATGATAATTAGATAAGTTTCGGTGAAATAATAAACATACATATGTCTATCGACCCGGAGCAGCATTGCTACGTCATTTTAACGTCACATCAGCCGGTGATGTTTTCGCATGTGAAACGATCGGGAAGCGTTTAATACTATTCCTTCTTTCTTATTACATACAATGTACAGCATTACAAAAATCAAATAGTCTCTTTTCTTAAACTATTCTTTTAAAACGTATGCTGTAAATTGCTGTTGCTACCCCAGTAAAAAATTTTTATTGGAGGGAAAGGATGACTTAGAATCATGCAGTGCCGATTTATGCAACGCGGGTTTAATACCGTAACGATATTAATATCGTACGGAATATTTCATGGTCGTCTGCACGGGCACTGGAAGTTAATGTAAATATATAGTATGTGTATGTATAAAAAAAGAAGGGTAGGACACTCTTTTTGAGGCAAATTCGGGTTTGGGGTATTTTAGGCCTTTCTCAGAAGACTTGGCGCGATTAATCGTTCACTTATAACTTACTTTAAATATATGTACCATTTCGTTCCGCTCCAATGCCGTCCCTTCGAAGAAAAAGATGTTTTTATACCTCCAAGTGCCTAAGAATTTTGCTAGACTGCCTTACTTCCGGATTATCCAAACTGAATATAAAAATAAGTTCTGATTGGTCAATATATTACAATGAAATTTGGACAGCTGGATAGACATGAAGCGAGAAACAATTTATTTGTTATGGTCTGTTCAATATTAGTTGAAGGGTAAGTTGCAGTTTTATATTTTAGCCTTTTCACAATTAATTTTTACGAATAATGAAGAATATTATTTACAGTATAAAAAAATTCATGTTGTTTATGTGTATGAAATTGACCAATCAGAACTTACCTTTATATTCAGTTTGGATAAAACGGAAGTAAGGCAGTCTAGCAAAATTCTTAGGCACTTGGAGGTATAAAAACATCTTTTTCTTCGAAGGGACGGCATTGGAGCGGAACGAAATGGTACATATATTTAAAGTAAGTTATAAGTGAACGATTAATCGCGCCAAGTCTTCTGAGAAAGGCCTAAAATACCCCAAACCCGAATTTGCCTCAAAAAGAGTGTCCTACCCTTCTTTTTTTATACATACACATACTATATATTTACATTAACTTCCAGTGCCCGTGGTCGTCTGGAGCTTTTAATTTTACTCAGGGTAAATTAATTGTAAAAAAAAAATGTATACCAATGAAATAACAAACTATAGCACTGTATTTTTTCTCGTTGTTATTGTTTTAGCAGGTTGTTCAGTCTGGAAAACAGTTCTAAATTGCGCTACACAAAATTTTGGGTATGCTGGCTGCTCCGCCCTTGACGTTAAAATCCATTTTGTCGTTGTTAGCAGATTTCTCTACCGTCCTTGATTTTTTTACGATCTCCGTATTTCTGTTCAAAATTATATCAAAGTTGCAAAACATGAATTTGAAATGAAGTTGAAAAATTATACACTTAAACTGAATTATTTTGGCTCTTATTATGGATCCACGAAGACTTAGAACGTTAGTGTTACATATTTTCAATATCCGATTTCGTGACTGCTCCGGGTACCCCAACTATTGACGCAATTATATACCATTGTAGAGAAAATATCTAATATTTGTAAAATATTTCTTGCTTTTATTAATTTTTAGTGTATGTAAACGTATATGCAAATTTTCACAAAAAGACGTTCATTAGAAAGCAAAATATACACAATGTCTCAATAATTTTCGAACAGCCCTCGTATGTACATGTATTTTAATTTTAAAAGACAGCTTGATTATCACTCTTTTTTAACCCAGATATATTTAATTACCGAATGTTTCAAAGGCATACGGCTGATTTGTCGCTGTTGTTTTATAACACGAACTACGTCTAGGATCAAACGTTTAAAATCACAGAACAAAATCGGCTGCTCTAATAATGTGCAGTTTGATGAAACTTAAAAAAAATATTAGAATAATCTTATCAAGAATTTTTTCAGTTGGCGCTATTTGATTGGGTCAGTCGCATTAGTGGAAACAAAGGTATTTTTATTTTTGGCCTAAGGACTGTAATAATTAGTAACAGGTTGATCATGAAGTTGGTTGAGAAATTTCACGAGGCAATCCTTTTCGGCAATATGATTGATGATTTACAAAATATTGAATCGTTCCCCAATAGCAATATATATGCCCTTAATGCAGCACACATTTCCACATTTTTTTCGTATAAATAGTGAATTAAAACAAAACGACTTCTACATTCTGTTTCTTTTTGGGCATTTGTGTACAAGTACATACTTTTTATTCATTTTAATTTTTAGTTTAATTAAAATTGTCAATTTCAACATCTTATAAATAAGTTGTGTTGTTCGACGCATTTTATAATCTATTAACAGATAAAAATAAATTAATAAGTGTTATTTAACACATGAGGACCTATTTTGGAAATTCCGCAACAAAATAAGGTATGTTGCTTTGCTTATGTCAAAACATTACGGTCAATCAAATGGGTTTCCCCCAAAATTTGAATTGGTAATTAAGTCGCTCCTTCATATTAACCAAAACATTTGCAACTGAAAACCATATAAAATGATCGAATATTTGCTTTGTTTGAATATCTTGGAGAGTACAAACGGAAAAGGCTTCAGTTTGAAAGAAACGTCTTCTGCGCTGTTCAATAATCTTCATGCTGATTTTGCATCAGTTTGAGTCTTATTCAGGCCGCTAATTGATTTAAAAAATGACAAAATATTAAATTCTATAGTACTAAATGTTTAAAAGAAAGTGAGTAAAAAGATATAGAATAGCTCAATATTTCAGCAATATTCTTTTTCAGGTATAAAAATGGTGATTGTGTTGATTATTTATGCCTTGGTCTTTTTTACAAGTCATGGATTGAAATTAGGACAAGAAATCGAAAGTAAGTTCTTCTAGGCTAATGATATTTACAAATACTTTGTCGGAAATGTATAGCTTCAAATTCTATGAATAATAAAAAAAAAAAATATTTTTGTTGCAATTTTAGAGGTTAACGAGTTTGCAACAAAGGAAATGATAGCTGAAATGACTTCAGGAATCACTAGTCTGGCAAGGCGGATCCAAAACACTAATACAATATGTATTGACGAAATCAACAGAATTCGTAACTACGTCTGTGCTAAATGTACCGGAAACCCGTGAGTGTTCATTT